GAGCAGAGAGGTGCAGAGAGGAGCAGAGAGGAGCAGAGAGGAGCAGAGAGGTGCAGAGAGGTGCAGAGAGGTGCAGAGAGGTGCAGAGAGGTGCAGACAGGCTCGTGTTTGCGCGGTTAGCCTCTGACTTTGGCTCAGGTTTGGTGAGGGCACACTCTTCCCAGAAGCCCGGAGACGCGCGCTTTACGCGCCGTGCCATTTACGCACGTCCGTTAGAGGGTCACCCTCCCWTTTCTTTCCTTTTTTATGTTTATATTTCTAATTTTTCCACATTTTCTTCACTCTACAATGTTTACAGACTTAAAGAGCGAGATAGTATCTAAGAATTTATGAATATCACTTCAATTATTGTAGGAAAACTGTTAAAGAAACTTCCAGTTTAAAATAAGAATGTTACCATGAAGATACACTTTTCTTCATCCAGCTGGTATTTGCTCAAACTTAAAGAAAAAACGTTTTTTTCTAGACTTTTAACAACAATATGCTACTTGTGTGAATTACAAATTAAATTTAAAAGAGAACTTTTCAAAATGACATTTTTTAAACTTTATCTGCAGTCCTAATAAACGCTCCTGATGTAGAATCTAATTTAGATCACTGAGTCCCTTTTTCATCATCCTTTAAAGAGAAATCAGCTCCAGATCCACATGAGGAAACTTGAAAACATCCTTGTGTTCAGAAACCCCTGGGCTGAAAGGAGCTGCAGCATCACAGAGCAAAAACACAAAAACACACAAACACACAGGAGATGTTGGCGTGAGTCTGAGAGGCTGTTTAATGCACCTTTTCTATTCCAGCATGCCTTCACACACGACCTTGTGAGACTCATATTAAAGTCTAATTCTGAAGCTCAGAGTGGAGTAATTGCTCTTTTGGTGCTGTGAGAGCAAACAGACAGCAGTTATGAATGAAGACATGCAGATATAATTGGCAGAAATGCGGCTCTTTGAAAGAACGACCACACGTTGCTGTAAAATATGCAGAACGGTTGCCTTTTCAGCTGTCATAGAACCAGATACCAGAGAGGGGATAATAGGCTTAACGCACTTGTTGGATTGGTTCTGGGGMTTTTTTTTTAATCATTTTATTTCTGCTCCACTGTAACCCAGAAGCTCTGTGTCTAATGGTAGTGAAAAGAATAGTGGTCTCCTCACCAGACCATGGATCTGAGAACATGACATCCCTCAGCAGGAGATCTTTGGTGATTCATCAACTGTGACTTAGATAAATTAGAGTGCAATTAATAAATTAACTAAACTTTATTATGCAATGAAGCAGCAATTAATAATCATATAAGCCCACTTTGCGTTATAAATCTGAGGGGTTTTTTTCTGCAGCCTTCCAGTTCTCAGACGGGGTTAGGTCTCCAGGGATCTTCTGCAAACGATGACTATTAATACAAGGTGTCACTCCGGTTGTTTGTGTGATTAATTGTGTGTTTCAAATGCTAATTCTCTGCATTTAAGTGAAGGGTTATAAATAATCTAAACCATCTCAGTTATATAATTGACAACTTGAGAAATAGTTTTTTTTTTGGCATCAGTTTGTTATTTTCATCAGCAAAGCTCAGTAAGATATAAAGGATTCAGACGGTGGTGTTTTTWACACTCAGGGTTATTAACTGGATTAGCATAAAGAAGCTTGTGTTTTATTTTTACATTAAAAAGGATTTTCTTTATTATTATGCCTGTTTGCTTCGTAAGATTTCAGTTTGACAAGTTGAGTTTTGCAGTTTATGATCGTAAGAAAGGAAACAAACAGATTTCTGTCAAATATTTGAGGTTTTTGACTCAAAACAATAAAAAGTCATTTCTGTTAATCAAATGAACTTATTAATAAAACTGGTTCAACTTTATGAAAGCAGCAAAGACGCAGAAACAAATGCAACTCTGGTGCAAACATGAAGGAAGAGAAAAGCAAACAAACTCGTTCATCTGTTCATTTTCTGAAGCCGTTTTGTGTTCTGGCTGGTGAGGAAGCTGCAGCCATCAGCAGGTCAGCAGGTTAGGGGTTAAAAAAATAAAACGTGTGTAAAGATCGACCCTAAAAGATTCAAATACTCACATCTGTTATGCATAAAACACACATCCATTTCTCTACAACCCTTTACTCCACACAACAATGAAACTGTGCATCAGCAGAGCAGCGTGACACCTGGGAGGGGTGGGGTTAATTAGGGGGTCCTCTCTTCTAACAATATGAGTAACTACCAACAGAGGAATGAAGTGCTCTCCAACAGAGCGCTGAACTCAGCCGCTCCGGTGGACTGACGACAGCTTCTCCCCACAATTATTTCAAGAACCCTCCACTTTTCCCTGAAACTCACTTTTTTACATTTACTCAAAATGCAGCTTAAATATTCTGAATAAAATACAAACAGGAGCAAAGAGCTCAGAAAAAAGAAAAGAACGAAGTAGAAAAGACTCGGCTCTTRTCCACACAAATGTTCTGCTTCAGGTGTGAGCCTCTCTGTGGCCGGAGGAGACAGAGCTGCTTCATTCTCAGCCTGATGGCTTTCTGTACCAAAAATATAAAAAAATCCCCCCCCCCCACACACACACACACACACACACTCGTGCCTGAGAACTAAACCTGAAGCCCTGCAGCTGCTCGCAGACTGTCGCTGTGTGCAGATTCAGTTTCTGTGAAGACGCTCGTTCAGAATCAAAAAAAGGTCTAAATGTCACGACTGTGTGCGCAGAGAACTCATTTGTTACACAAGTAAAACAGAAAAACCTGCAAATTACTGAGGAAATGACAAATGCAGGGTGAAAGCTGAGCGATGAATTGTTTCACTCAAATTTGCTGGAAAACCTTAAACTGAAGCGAAAAATTCTAATGAATTAAAACGATGGGTAAAAGCTGCAACTAGCAAAACACTCAAAAATATCCTAAGTTAATAAAAAAAAACTAAAAGCAGCAAAATACCAGCATAGAGCTAACTGTTAGCTAATAGGTCCAAGTACAAACAACAACCACCACTAAAAAAAGGYCATATCAGCAGAAAAGCAGCTTCAGGTTTTCCTGAAACACCAGATGAGAGTTTTGTGCATCGACACACAAACATGAAGGTTTGTGTGTCCGGATAAAAGTGACGACGGTTCTGAGCTCAGCCGACCCGCTCGTCTGCTCTGAGCTGTCACAAACCCTCAGGTTCATGTTTCTTACGTACCTGTCGTCCTCACAGGGTCCGCCACCTCGACGTCCACTCTCGTCCCAAACTGAGCAGAAACGGCTCTTCAAACCTGGATAGATAGATAGATAAATAAATAAATAAATAAATAAATAAATAAGACTGATTTTGATATTGCTAATAATGCCAACAGTCACAAATCCTGAACTTTCATGCTCCTTCTTAACTGAAAAGACAAAAGTTCCTCGTTTGTCACATTTCTGTTGGGAGATTTTGGAAATGTTTTAGTGAAAGTTTGTCTGCAGCTTTTCTGTGCTGAAATGTTCACACCCACAAAAAACAAACAATAAAAAAAAATAAATAAGTGGGTATTTGTGATCCTCTCTTGTTGGACGTGAAACAGATGTAAATGGAGCTGAGATGTAAAAACTGTAGCTTTTAGAAACCCAGACTTCCAGTTAGTCCTTTATTTCACAAAACAAGAATTTATTTAAAACATCAGCCTGAGCACATCAACACTTAAAGTACCTGAAACATACATCATTCAAATAAAAAAGTCAAAAGGAAACATCTTTATATTGAAGAAACTTGAAACAATACTTAGAATTTCACTCATTTTGACACATAACTGGCATACTTTGAATTTGGCTGAAAAGTGAAACAGGAAGTGACATCAAAGGGGAACTCTAGGAAAATACAAACTCTGGTCTTTATTTATTGAAACACTATTTGAGCTTTAACTCTTCCTCTCTCTGATAGTGACTCAATCTAAAGAAACATTTTTGTTTCTAGCCTGTTAGCTGTAGCAATGCTCTCTTCACCTGCAGGAAAACCCCTTTGACATCACTTCCTGTTGCTTCACATGCAAACATCTCAACAACTGTTCATCTCAGTGGCGTGAAATTTATTTTTGCAATTATTAATGTTATCTTTCCAAAAATGAATTAATATTTATTACAAAAATTTGATGTCACAGGCACTTTAAAAGTGAAATATGAGAGGGCAACAAAATGRGTTCATTCTCCAAAACAGCCTAACTTTTTAAAAGGTTCTTTAGTCTCTTTAAAAGCAGATTAAATCAAAAAGTGTTGAGATAAGGTGTATGAGGAAGCAAACYGAAATAAATCAGTTACAACAAGAATATGTCTCATATGTCTTAAGTATTTCATTATGAATCAAATTAACAATAAAGAGAATTCATTTTGTCCATTTAGTGCAGCTGATCTCCTTTTATTTGTTTTTCCAAATTTGTTTCATCCCAGCATGAAAGCATCATTTAAACCTGAGGCTCTGAGCAGGACTCACCTGCCTTTGGGCTAAAACTGCTTAAATTACGTTTCAACACAGCCTGAATGACCCCAAAGGTTCATCTGACCCCCCTCAGACCACCCGGCTCATCCTAACCTCAGCCTTAAAGCAGCTGAGACAGACAGAAAGCCCACTTCCTTAAACACTGACAGCCCCTCATAGTGAAGCAGAGCCGTCCTGAGACAGGAAGCACTAAATCAAAAGCAGAACAATTTATTGTGGCGTCGCTCCTTCAGAGACAAAAACACTGGAGGTTGGTTCAGGGGGGCTGGATTTCAGCCCACAGCTGAGAGGAGAACGAGTCGCAGGCTCCGGTGGAACGAGGGGGTGGAACTCCCAGGAGGGCTTCATAAAGATGCGCCTGACTTTCACATGAATTAGTAAGAAAAGGGAAAATCCTCACTTTAATTTCACAGCTGACAGCGGCGCACGTTCTTTAAATGTGGGGTAAAAATTCAATCAGCCAGGAAGAGAGTCAACATCGAGTGGAGCTCCCATCGTTTCAACATCAGTTGGCATCTCAGCGATATTAGAAAGGGCTGTCTGGGGCCGGGGGGGGGGGGGGGCTGTCAGAGGAAGACAAGGAGCAGAGACTCTCAGGCTCCTGACCTCATGGCAGTGTGGCTAAAAACTGCTCCGACCCGCCAGAATAAAAGCAGCAAGAGAGGAGAGGAGAGGAGGAGAGGAGGAGAGGAGAGGAGAGGAGAGGAGAGGAGGGGAGAGCCCATTTCTGTTCTCAGATCTGACGATCTGTAAACAGTCAGTTCTACCTGAGAGAGCAGCAGGTCAGAGACCACTGAGCTGCACTGATTCTGAGGGGGAGCGGGTCCAGAGAAGACCTGCTGAGGGGGCTTCACAGGACGGTTAGATTAAACTTACTTATTGCAACGTCAAAAAGACCAGTCAAATAAATAAATACAGAGAAAATCAGTAACCTTTACGATCAAAAGACTCATTTCTGCTCCTTGACTCACTGATAAAATGTGTCGAGTCGCAAAACAAGCAACAACTGATCATCAACTGGTGGTCTGTGGGCCTTTTCAGGAGCCTTTACGTCCAGTGGTGACATTATAAAACAAAGACTACTTATTTTTACACTTCAGGACAAATGAAAAGACCAGATTCATGTAAACAAGAAAAATACTGTATATAGTTTATACTGAACTTCATATAAAACTATTCAGGTATAATTCTTCTGTAATCTTTAAGGTCTTTAAAGGTAACACTGATCAATTTGAGAGAATGATCATAGAAATAAGTTGGAATATTTCAGTAAACAGGCTAACATAAGCTAACATGTTTTACTTTTCGTAGTTTTGATCACATATTTGCGTACAAATTGATTTCTGTTGCGACTATAAAAAATTTATTCTGAAAAGTTTGGTCACATTTTCAAAGAGCCGCTGCAGAGGGGCCCCGGAGCCACAGGTTGCAGACCCCCATCTTAAACCGACGGCTGATGTGTCCTTAAATAAACCTAAATCTTGATATATTGCTGCGTATTTATACTCTGATTTGTTGACTAAAACATGCAGATAAGTCCTTTGTTTACCAGAGGTGTGTAAAGTACAAGGAAAAGTAAATATATCTTAAACAGAAAATGACTTTGGTAAAATGATTTTCACTGATAAAAACTGCTCACAATAATCAAGAAAAAGTAACCAGTTCCACTAAACTGAGTTAACATAACTTTAAAAAATAAAAGTGCAAAAACAGCTCCTGTCATGAGTCATYTTTTAATTTGTAACAAGCTGCTCAATTTCAAAGTAAAAAGATATTTATGTTTTGAATGTAACAAACTAAAAGTAAAACAATTAAAAAAAGGTAAAATTACAAATCCTCAAAAAAAAAATAGAAAAACACTGCTAAAGTACTGCAACAAAGTAAATCTACTTCATTGTTTACAAGTGTGTACCCACATTTTAAATATATATCAATTTATTTAGAAAAAAAAACACTGGAGTGAAGCTTTTCAGACTTTAGTTTGATAAAGTTCAGGATAACCTTTAGGTTTTATTTCATCGTTTGCAACGAGAACCTTTCAAAGTAATGGAAGAGAAGATTTGGGCTGAGTGCAGAGAGAATGTGCTGCTGAAGAATAATGTTCAGTAATTATTTTTAAAAGGACTGCAGCAAGAAAAAAAAACACTTTTTACAGTGATTCTGTTTTTACAGGTTTGTTTTCCATTTATCAAACATCTGTGGTTTTAATCTGTGGTTCTGTCAGAAACAAATCTCTGCAGCGTCATTRAAACCTCTCCATCACGAGTTGAAACGTATTTTCAACAAATACAACCTCCACTGCTGAGGGCTTTAATTTAAAGTGTGATTTAATAAAGGGTCAGTTAACATCATGAAAAAAAACTATGCTTTTGTTCATCTGCTGACATTTCCAGATTGAGTTTAATCCATTTGTAACTCTGGGCCTCATGCAAGAACCGTTCGTACGCACAGATTTGTTCTTAAGTTGTGCGTACGAGTGATTTAGGAG